CCTTTGTGCCAACCAACAAAAATGTATTTACATATGGAAATCAACAGAAAGTAGATGTGCTAGGTACTGTTAACGCTAATGTTGACTTGGGTGGGCGATTTGAAAATTTGAAATTCATGGTCGTTGATACTGGCGACTCGTCTATTTTAGGATACCCTTCCGCAAGTCAACTTGGGTTTATACAGATCAATCCTAGCCACTCTAATACTGTATCATTTGTCGAAAAAAATATCTCCCCGAATTCTGAACAAGGTTGCTCTCACACATCTGTATTTCATAATATTAAATCTACATTGAATACTAATGATTTGAATATTCCAGGTGTCCCGGTTTCAGTGCAAACAATTGTACAGAAATATGCAAATGTTTTCACTGGGATGGGAAAATATTCTGCGAAGGGAATTAAATTACATGTGGACACAAATGTCAAGCCTGTAAGTCAAAATCATAGACGCATTCCATATCATTTACGAAAGAAAGTTGAAAGAGAACTGCGTTCTTTGGAAGAAAGTGGATGGTCCAACGCCATGGGTAGGTCCCATTGTTGTCGTTCCAAAACCGGATACTGATAATGTACGGATATGTGGAAACTACAGGGCTCCCAATTTGGCAATACAACGCAAAAGGCATGTGACACCCTCTGTCCAAGAACTCCGAACAAAACTGAATGGGTCGACTATTCAGCAAACTTGATGCTAATAAACACTATTTACAATTTGAATTGGATGAAGAGTCCAGGAATATCACTACAGTTAGTACACATGTGGGTTAAAGACGTTGTAAACGCCTCCCTTTCGGCATAAACGCAGCAGCAGAAATTCGTCAAAATGAAATGTCTATGGTTTTACAAGGCTTGACAGGGGTTAAAGTATTTCCGATGATATTATTATTTATGGTGAAAACCAGGAGTTGCATGATAGGGCTCTTAATAATTGTTTGTCTAGATTGTCCGATAATGGACTAACGTTGGGTCCACCTAAATGCAAGTTTTCAGTACAGAGATAGTATTTTTTTTGGCTTCGTGTTCGACAAAAACGGCATGCGTTGTACCGATAATCGTATAAAATGTATTCGTGAGCTAAAATGACCAGAAAATGTTTCGGAGGTCAGATTGTTTCTGAGAATGTTGGGTCTCCCATCCATGATGGTGCCGCAATTTAGTACGTTGTCCGAACCAATTAGATCACTCGTGAAAATTGGGGTTCCATTTGTTTGGGGTAAAAGGCAAGAAGACTCGTTTATGGCCATTAAAAAGGCAATTTGTTCAGATATAACGCTTGGCTATTTTGATATAAACAAACTACACTGACTGTTGACGCAAGTCCGGTCGGCCTCGGTGCGATCTTGCGACAGGGAGATGCATTAATCAGCTGTGCGAGTAGAGCACTTTCCGAAACGGAAAGCCGATACAGTCAGATTGAACGAGAAGCCTTGGCAATCGTTTGGGGAATGGAACATCACTGATTATATCTCGATGGTTCACCCGAATTCACGATTGAAACTGATCATAAACCATTAATTAGGATATTTGCTCGAAAGGAATTGCATAAAATGTCAAGTCGAATAGAAAGATGGGTGACCAAGGCCCAAAGATTTAGATTTAAACTAATCCATCGTTCTGGAATAAATAATCCAAGCGATTATATATCGCGACACCCCCGTTCTCTTAACCATCATAGTGGAAAAAGAACGGATGAACACGTGTCTTTCATTTGTAAACATGCGTTGCCTTGTGCTGTAACAATGAAAGAAATTCAAATTGCGACTCAAAATGACAAAACTTTGATGTTTGTTATTCAATGTTTGCGGATTAATTGTTGGCATAAGGTACCACAAAATG